TTGTTTATATTACCTACCAACCTTGCACATTTCAAATTGGTTTTCGTAAAACTTATCCGTAACTTAACATTAAAGCTATTTCGGCGTTTAAAATATATATAATGGCGAAATAGTGATGAGTTTTGAGTTTTATTATTATTTTCTTTGTTGTTGCTTAATTCAATGCTTGTGTCATTATTATTATATGTACTGGAGAGTGTTTGTGACTCTGTCGGTGTTGTGCTGTGCTGTAGTAACTTCTAATGTTTGTTCTCTAAACGCCTTTTTCCCATAGATACTCGTTTAATGTTGTTGTTGTTTATTTTTATTTTGGTGTTCACTTTTCAATCTAAGACGTTTTGTATTTATTTGATTAAAATTAATATTTTAGCTAGGCATGCAAACTAATATGTTTCGTGAGCCATTTATTTGACATCTTTCAGATAGTTTAAATATGCAATTATTACAGTAAATGTATGTATGTACCAGAAGGACAACACCTTTTCATATTTTATATATATGTATGCATGTATATATGTTTGTATATTAGTTGCTAATTGTTTGGGTGGTTGCACCATTATAGTTTTTGCTCTACATGCTATTGTATTAAAAAAATCAGCAGCTTTTTTTGTTGTGTCTACATTTACTAAATATAATTTTGGTATATTCAGTTTCTGGTGCTTTTCTCATTGAAATTTTAAATCAAAAACACTACTACTTTTCCATAATTCAAGTATGTACCTAAATAAGTCGAAATATCTCGATTTGTCTAATCATAGTAATGGTAATAAGTGGTAATGTTGTAAATATATATGTATATAAATATTTAATATATAATGGTACACATGTTTATGTATATGTATAATAGTGTTCTCTATAAGAATAAGGGCCATTTGCTCAAGTAGGTTTTCAAATTAATCCCCTCTTTAAGCAAACATTTTGTTCTGAAAAAATATGTTTGGAGGGCAGAGAAAAATTTTTAAAGCTACTCGAGAAAACGACACTAAATTACTTTTTGAATTGTAATTATTTAATGACTAATGCCTCTTTCGATTAAGTATGATAAGTCTTAGTCATCTGCTTCTTAAACTCGTAAATAACCACTAATGTTTGTTTAAAGAAATTTTATTATTTCGGGAATTAATTTGAGTTTTTCTACTGATTAATAAATAATATACATACATATATTATATTGTAAGGGCCGTTTCCTAGACTGCCACTTAAAGATAACCGCTGCTTTGACTGCCTGCCAAATTTGTCGCTCACATGCTTATCACAGGCAATCGATAAAAAGTCAACAAAGCAGACCGGCTATCAATTTTGTGCAGGCAGTTCAGAAATCGGTCTCAAACCTAGTGGAATTGTTTACACAAATGTCAATAAAAACACAAATCTAGATTGCACTATCTATCATAAATGTAAATGTACATTCGAGTATATTTACCACTTCAATACAATGAAAATTACGGGAAAATACTCATTGGAATAAACTGCAATTCAAGGGAAGACCAAATTATGCACACATGTTTGCAATTACATACATATAGTATATCGATGATCTTCTGCAATAACGACACAATTCAAAAAAATAAAATCCTCTACTACTGTTAAGTTGGCTCTTATCTCTAATCCTTGTCTAATCCATGTCTAATCTTACTAAATAAATAGTAAGAATTACTACAGTAAGTAGTAAGGATTGGACATGGATTAGATAAGGATTAAAGACATGAGCCACTTAACAGTAGTAAGAGTTTTTTTATTTTTTTAATTTTAAATTTCGTTATCGTTAATAAGTTGTCAGCGATTTTGTAAACAAACGGTATTCTCGTTATTTATTATTTAATATTATCCACTGTGTTTAATGGGAACGTGAAATAAAAAAAAAAAAATGATAAAAAAGATATCTACAAAAGTTTAATTTGCACAACAATGATAATATTGCAGGTACTCCTTTCATCTTGGTTATGGGGTTATCTGATATTGGGTTATCTTTTTTCAGTTTCCAAGAACTAAATACACTAAGGGCCGTTTTCTATACTGCCTGTTAAAGATAACCGGTGCTTTGAATCCCTGTCAAAATTGTCGCTCATATGCTTATAACAGGCAATCGATAAAGCAGACAAGCAGTCGAGAAAACGGCCCTAAGGGCCATTTACTCAAAGCCTGGTTGACACTAATCTAAGGTTAAACATCGTTATCGACGTGTTCGACTCCATGCATATAACAGGGTGTGGGTGACGTCGATAAAGATGTTTACCCGGAGATTAGTGTCAAATAGGCTTTGAGGAAATAGCCCGTAGGGCCGGTTACTTAATGTCTGGTTAAAACTAATCTCCGGTTAAACATAGTTATCGACGTTACCGACTCCCTGTTATATGCATGGAGTCGAAGACGTCGATACCGATGTCTATTATTAATATTATTATTAACCACGTATATCTTTTTTAGTAACCGCCTCTGTGCTACCGAATATGAAATTTAAACAAAATTTAGTTTTAAAAATTACATTAAAGCCACTGTTTTAAAAATTGAGATGTTTTAGAATTGATTGAAGAAGTCGGGTTCTGCAATTTTTCTCCGGCGAACCCGGTTTCAAATGAATTGC